GTCTTTTTGATGATTCAAAAGTTAATTGCATAGTAATATTCTTAGAATATGTGCATGGCAGCTGGAAGACTTGGATATGAGTCAAATGTATTCTTGCCTCTGACGTAGTTTTTCCCTCTCCCACAGTACAGAAGGCACTATTAACTACGTAACTGCTGACTTACATAACAAAAAAGTTAGTTTACCATAACTATGCAAGTAGAGTTAATTGTACCAGCAGGATCGTAATATTTGGTGGTAAGAAGAGGAAGACTCAAGATTCTTAGCAATTCTTACCTCATGCAAGTGAACTCAAGTTTCCATTGTGTCCTGTGGAACCATTAACTATTTGATATTTAATCTTGAATTTATGAAATATTGTCAGGTCAATAGAGGTGTTGACTCCATGTGATTGAGGAAGTCATTCCTTTAAGAGCTGAGCAAAATGAGAAAAGCTTAATCTATGAGCCAATGTCTAGACTGGCCATGCTGAAAACTAGAATGATATACAGTATTGAGCAGATAGTGTAATATTTGGACACCTTTCAAAAATTCTGCTTTGGAAAGCTAAAAAATAACTCCTAGCATATGTTGACTTGGAGGCCATATCCATATACTGCAGCAAGTAAAGGAAGAGTGAAGGGTTTGCTCTCTAATTTTGTTTCTGATAGTGATTCTGATTTCCCATATAAAAATATTAAGTAAATGCAAATTTACTTTAGTTTCACCATCAGTGTCAATAAGAAGTCTAAGACAAGGAGGTGGTAGAAAATAGTAGAAGAAAATTGCAATTGCAAGCATACTCCTGTCCGAACTCTCTCTAACATGGAATTATAGACTCATAGAATCAACTGGTTTGGAAAAGACCTCCAAGACCATCAAGTCCAACCCTACTGTGATTACTAGACCATGGCACTAAGTGCCACATCCAGTCTCACCTTAAAAACCTCCCGGGACAGTGAATCCACCACCTCCCTGGGCAACCCATTCCAATGTCTGATCACTCTCTCCATAAAAAATCTCTTTCTAATATTCAACCTAAAACTCCCCTGGCAGAGCTTGAATCTGTGAGATGTGAGATCCTTGAGATCCTTGAGATGTGAACTACATTGAGAGAGCACAGGTTTAGTAAGTCAAGCTTTGCCTAGAATATTTCCCAGTATCTTAGTGACCTGTATTTTCAGGACTGTTGGAGCAAGTCCAGAGGAGGCCATGCAGTTGATAAGAGGACTGGAGCATCTCCCAAGAAGGACTGGAGCATCTCCCCTCTGAGGACAGGCTGAGGGAGTTGTGGCTGTTCAGCCTGGAGAAGAGAAGACTGCGTAGAGACCTCAGAGCAACTTTTCAATATCTAAAGGGCCTACAAGGAGCCCTACAAGGAGAGGGACTGTTTGTTAGGAACTGCAATGATAGGACAAGGGGTAATGGATTCAAATTGAAGGAGGGGAAGTTTAGGTTAGATATTAGAAAAAATATTTCTCCTGTGAGTGTGGTGAGGCACTGGCACAGGTTGCCCATGGACGTGGTGGCTGCCCCAACCCTGATGATGTTCATGACCAGGCTGGACGAGGCCTTGAGCAACCTGATCTAGTGAGGAGGTGTCCCTGCCCATGTCAGAGGTTTGGGACTTGGTGATCTGTAAGGTCCATTCCAACGCTTAAATTCTATGATTCTATGATTCTTTTGTGTTGATAATTTCAGGTTAAGCTATTGACAGCATGTGTATCAAAAGGAAATTCATCCACATTACTTCTATGTCATTGCTTTAACACTCTCTTTCATACACTGATCAGGCTTCTGCTGTTTGTCTCTGTGCTTTCTTAAGTTGTTGTCAAGATGTCCTATAAAGGGCTTACTGGTGTCTTGGTCAAAGAAGTACTGTGATTGCATGTTGCACATCTCTTAATTCATAAACTGCCAGATTTTGCCAGAGTTATTTTAGAATGGCTTCCAAAGACGTTCAGCCAAACCATCTCTGTGCTTGAATTAAAAGGAGCAATGTGTATATCATGTAGTTGTATGGCCACGTGTAAGGCTTTGTGTGCTCTGGTGAAATGCTGGCAGGTGGAAGAATAGCAGAACAAATCCCCATGGCTACTTTTGCAGAACATTACTGATAGAACATTACTTCCTGGTTTGACAGTCTGTCTTCAGCAAGTCACGAATACAAAAAACAGATATGGAAAAAAACTCCGTCACCAGGTGTAATTGTACTGTCTGATGTATTTGTACAGTGGTCATCCTGGGATTGCTGTGACAAGACTGCAATGAGCTTTCCTCTTGGTATGTTGACAGAGAGAATCAGACCCCACATTCCTGAATAATTATTTATTCTTCCTAACACAAGAAGCCTAGCCAGGCCTCTGCTGTGTTTTATCTCAGAATTATCAGATTTTTTCATATAGGCCATTCTCTTCTGCAGTGTGATTCAGAATGAAGATAATCTTCCACGTAGATTCTCCTTTTAACAAAAAGTATCTTGCAAAATAAATTTACACTGTAACTAAATGAACATTAAAGGTTAGCTCTGCTGATGGAATGATTAGAAATAGTCTCATAAAAGTTTAAGGGTAGGGAAACAACACATTGACACAACTATGACTCAAAACACATCTTTTATCTCTCCTTCTGCATCTGCTGCTATAACAAACACACTTGCCATGCATCCAACCTTTCTTTTTTAAACTTTGACTTTTAGCAATGGCTGTTGTAGCACTGGTGTTGGGGTGCTTAGGTCAGGCACACGGTGAAAGATTATGGGAAATTGTATTTCTATTCATGGACTTCAGAAGCTTGAAAAAAATAATATTTGTTAATACTCATCAGTGGAACCTAAATATGACAATGCTCCTTCTTGTGACTTGTTCTAGTGATGCTGCTTGCACAGTGATAGCGTGCAGAGTTAGACCTAGGATCATTGGTAATAAAGGCACATGAACACCTGATATTTGAAAGAGGAAGGAGGACTAGAAACAAGGAGTGGCATAAAGCTCCACAGGCAGGTCAACTCAGATATAGACAATTGATGTAAGCTCAATGAAAAGGTGCTAACGCATACATATGAATGTTATCTGTTCATTAACACTAAGATTCTTCTGGAATAAAGTGTGTACTCCAAAAAGCAGTAAGGTAGTTGAGCAAGAAATAGAACAGTGTATGATGTCTACCTCAAAGACTGATTATTTCTGAAGGGCATATAAAGCATCTGGTAGATAGGATCATTACCCATCTGGCAATAAGGAAACAGAGATGGTATAGTTTAGAACACTTTCAAACGCTAGCAAAAGTGCAAGTACTTAGGAATTTTGAAGATAAGGATTGGCATTTACCTCTTTTCAAATCATCACAGCCATGTAAGCTCAAATGCAAATTCTGTAAGAGTGGTTTCAGTGATTAAAGGCATCTTAGTTTCCCTTGGGATGTCACAGCAAGCCACATATATGTCAGAGGAAGTTACAATGAGAAGGTGTTGGTTGCTCTGCGAAGCAAAGATTGGAAAAGAAAAATAGTTCTGTTTTAATTTCATAGCTCAAGAAGGAATCATGCTCCCCATACACGTAGGACAAGTCTGGAGCAGAGAAAACCAGTCACTGAAATGTAGAGGTGCTTAGCTAAGAGTAGCTCTTCACCTGCATAGAATAAAAATGGCAGCATATTGAACTAAGGGACAGTGCAACTTTCCAGTCCCAGCAAATGAATGAGACTGGTTCCAGACCTAGAAGTTTTGTCAGACAAAGTGACCTGAACAGAAAATATGCAAATTTCCAACTTATATCTGTGAGCATACACTGCAAATTTAACCTAAAAAGGGGTCAGCTTTGCTGTGTGCATGGAGTTGGTGTTACAGTTTGCAAAGACTGTGTATGTACTAAGTCATGGAGACTTTTTTCTGAGGCAATAGTAGTTCCAGCCAGGAGACTACCTAGGAAAACAGAGAGAGGAAACATAACGCTCAAAGTAACATCCTTTGGGAATCCCCTAAGCATTTTTAGAAAACATCTCTGAACTAAGAGTTTTGGAGGCATAGAAGAGAAAATTCCAAGAGGAGAGATGTTTCTGAAGTGTCATAAGAAGTTAGATCTGCTAAAGTAACCATCAGGAGAAGGTCTCTGTAGAGACTGTTGTTTTTTTCTCTAAATAGTTTGTCCTAAGTGGTTATTACTTTTATTTCAAAGAAGGAAAATAAAATTTCTTCTACTGATAGATTCATAAAGGAGGAAAGGGATAGTTCTTCATTTCAGTCGGGATAGTTGAGTAAAATTTAATATGTTGTGAGAGTCTCTACAACCTTTTTGAGGGACTTTCTGTTGCACCATGATAATGTTTGAAAGAGCACCCTTTTTGCTGTAACTTTCTGGAACTTACTTTGTCATCCCATCTCAGTTATGTTTGGGAGCAAATTGCTGTATGGGCTATACTTTGGTTTAGATGTTTTTCACAGCTTTACGAATTAAAGAAACCTAACAATTGCCTGCAGAATAATTTTACAATGCATGATGTTCCATTTGAATTTGTAAACGTTACTGTTGACTACATGGAGCTTCACAAGCATCATTTAATTTTTACAGAAGTCATTCTATGTGGTGGCAAAAAATGAAAAATTCTTCAGTTTTGAAGCCGTTGTTTGAGGGTCTCACCCTAAACTTTCTTTGAGGGATTTCTTTGTTCATCCACTCCAAAATTCATTATTTGTTATAGGAGTTACTGAAGGTTAAACTTGGCGTAAGCATTTGAAGGATTTAAAAGCACAGCATCCTGTAGATGAAACAGAGCAATAAAAAATTCCATGATTACTGAATCAATATTATACTATTTCCTGTATACTGAATTCCTTCATTTATGGTGAAAAATACCTGTCTGTTTACTTCTTATCTTCTGTAAATACCACGCCTATTTTTTTACCCCTCCTCTTGCCTCTTCCCTTTGTATCTCCTCCCCTGTGATAGAATCAATTGCACCAGTGGATACTATATAAAGCAGAGTTTTCAGTGGAGCTCACCCAGCTCACCCACCTTAGCACCATGGGGCTGAGAGTGGCCAGCCTTGTTTTCCTTTGGCTGGCCCTTTCCTCTGCTAATGAAATAAAAAAAGGTAAGTTCTAGAAATTCTTGCAGATGGCCTTGTGGAAGAGAGGGAGAGAATGAAAATACTACTGCAGAGGTAGAAGAAGGCAGTGCATTGAAATAATGCACTGGGCTTTTAAGATGCCTGAAGTTCCTTAAGCTTTCAAATACTGCGGCTGCATGGCTCAGCCAACATAGATACTGCTTGCTTTGGGGAGATTGGTACCTGTATCTACTGCTTTAGTTTCTAGTTTGATGTGCTTGGGAAATATTTGCAATGTTACTTTTCTTTCCATGTGTTGAGACTTTCCTAAGTATGGCAAAGACTTGGCAGAAAGCAACTATAGGAGTTGAGAGACTCATTGTTACAACAATGGAGGAAGCTAATTATTGTGCCTTCTGTTGCCTTGCAACAAAATTAATTCTTTCTTCAACAGTGAATGTAGTAACATGGGACAAAACTAATTTTGTCCTTTATGACATAATAATCCTTCTGTAAAAGCTCAAACTTACTCCATTTTTATCAACTTTGAAGTGTTGAAATGGAGCACTCATAATGAAATTCGCAATGAATTTTGTGTGGTGATTGGGTTTAGCGTATTGGTCTTGGTCTACTGTGTCTTGAATTCAGCAATGGGAGGAAAGCATTATCTTGCATTTGGTGCCCCAGCTGTGAGCTCTGGGAGAATCCCTGTGCAGTCCTCCTCCAGGGGAGAGAAGCACATCAGCTTGGCTAGATGTATCTGGTGTGATTGATACTATCAAATTGCAGTAACTTAGAGATTTTTCTTAGTCATTTTGTTTTCCCATATTAAACACTGCAAGAAGATCTAGTGAAGATGAGAGTCATGTGAGCTTTTGGTACCTTGTCAAGATTCCCAAGGATGCTCAGCTTTTATGATTCACCCATAATCTACATTATCAGTGTTAATTTGTATTATTTGTTGGTATAGATGACTTGGAAGGGAACAATCTTCATCTTTTTGCTATGCAAAAACTAGTTGAATTTCTCCTACTATGTTTTTTTCCTGATCTATCTTCTGAAGAATTTCTATTCTGCAGTAAGAGAAATTACATTTTAGAAAACAAAAGAATTCTCTAAGTACTCCTTGTGCACAAATCCTTCCATAGCATTTAAACTATTTGCCTTCCACAGTAGGAGTAGTACTTGCTTGTTTCCAGACTGTTCTGTTTCTTGTATGTGTGGCATCATGGAAGGAGATAGCTCTTAGAAATATTTAATATTGCCAAAAATAATACTGTGATTAGAATAAAATCTTATGTTTGGCAAAGCAGCTCCATTGCACCGATGCAGCAGCTTGTTAGTGGTCAGAGGTTAAGTTTCCCCACCTTGTGCAACAAGTTCCTTCACCTCAGTGAGGATTACAGGATATACTCAGGTCTCAGCAGTATTTATTAATGTCTTATTTTCCATCAGAAATTCACATCTCTTCTGCCTAACAGATCAGGCTTGAAATCTGTGGAATCACTGTGCACATAATTACAAGTGGTTTCTACTGTAAAATACAATACCTACCATTTCTCACAAGAGTCTGTCCATTGCATTTTCTTCATGCCTATTTATTTTTCATCCCTTAACAGGAAGAACAAGAAACCATGGCCACTATGTCTGCAGCACCTGGGGAAACAACCACTTCAAAACTTTTGATGGAGACACCTACCAATTCCCTGGCATTTGCGAGTACAATTTTGTTTCTGACTGCCGAGACTCGTACAAGGAGTTCTCTGTCCACATCCAGCGTGCTCTGGACAGCAACAACCACCCTGAGATCCAGTACATCCTGTTAAAAATCAAGGACATCACGGTGTACCTCAAACCAAAACTGGTTGTGGTGGATGGCCGGATGTAAGTTGCTTTTGGATTAAAATGTATTTATACTATTATAGATTTTCAGAGAAATGTGCTAGGAAGATAAAAGCAGAGTTGACTCTATACACAGCTATCAGTATAACATTAAGGTAACTGCTGCTCCATGAGCAAAAGAAGACCCTTGGAAATCCAGCATTAAAATTGTGTTGGGGGAGGGATTTGGTATTAATTGCCATTTCTACACTGGCATAAGGGATTATTTAAATGTAAGTCAGGAAGGTGTTTGAGAGAATTGTTCTTCTAGTTGTGCAGGAAAACAATGCAGCTCATGAGCCACAACATTTACTGGCATAAACCTTCATGTATTTTATGGCATCACCTTGAGTTTACCTTAGTAGATGGCCTAGCAAATCCTTAAAAGGGAAGTGCTTTTCTCTGGGGCCTTTTTCTCTTATTTTGTGGAAGAAGAGGGGTGTGTTTTTTCTGATCTTCATAAATAATTCTGTAAGGTCTGATGACCATTCCTCAAGGGATTATAAAAATATAACACAGGTCAAAATTTGCACTTATTTATATGTGGTAATAAGCCCCTTCTCACACTGAGCAGTAGTATTTTTCTTCTCCTATAATATGGTTACACAAGGAACTAGTTTGACACCACTACTGGGGCCAAGTAGTGTCTTAACCTAACTTTTCCTATCATTAGCCTATCCTTTCAGTGTATATACATATACTCATTGAAACAAGTGAAGCAACTCATAGGTTAAGACGTAGTTCTGAAGAAGGAAGAAATTGACTATTAATATGTCTAAGCATAATTTGCAAAGAATAGTTTTTATTGTCATTGTAGGACTGGGTTTTGCCCAGAATTCAACTTTTCTTCTAAAGTTTGGAAGCCACTGCAATGAAAGTATGTTCAAAGATAGATAATAATATTAACTTTTCCAAAGATCATTCCAGAAAGCATAATAAAATGCCAGAAAGTTTAAAAAAATCCATTCTTGCCCCAATCTTTACTGTGTACTCAAGTCTTAAAAAGATCTCATGAAAGGCAAGTTTAGAAATCCTTTTAAAACTGTTTCTCTTAAACCAAGTCTCTTCCTTTCTTAGATGGTATTCATAAAACAATAGATTTTTTCTGAACAGGTTTTTGCTGCATGAGGAATATAGATTTTGTAGAACTCAATTTCCCATATTGCTCTTTAAATGACCTATGAGCCATTGTCATGCAAAATAGCATTTCATAGTACTGAAGTGAAAACTGTGAAGTAGAAAAATGTATTAATGTACCTTTTGGTACCTGATCTACTGATTGATTAAATATCCTGGTTTTAGGAAAAAAAAAGTGATATATTCCATGCTTTCATATCTGAAAGGTGAAAGGCTAAGCAATGTTTTATAATCCCTCTCCAAAAACATGATCTCCTAAGTCTTTGTTGTCCAAAGGATGAACAATGCAGCATAAAGCAGAAATAATGATTTCTGGGTTTGCATTTGGTGTTTAGATGTGTAAGTCATTTGTCTATGTTAAAAGTGCCTGGAAAAATCCCAGAGATAGGAAATTAGGAGATAAAGCTCTCCCAGTCAAGAGCTTAGTTAAGAGATGTGCACCAAATACATGAATCCTGATAGATAACAATGATATTGTTAAATATGTAGAAAATGAATCAGTTATTTTGACAGAATTCCAGTTTACTTCTGTTTGAACAGGCTCTAGTTCTTTAGATTGTATAGGATAAGGCTGCTTGGCACAGTCCCTTTACTGCTGAGTGAAATTCAACAGATGACTTGTAAGATAGACTTACAAGAACAGGACAGAGGTCTGGTGAATTTATTCTTTATCACAAAAATATCTATGCTCAGCCCTCTGCAAAGGATCTTCTGTCACCATTAACAAACTTGGTCCTGTCAACCCAAAACTAAGAAACTAACATGCTGAAACAAACTGTTGAATTCCTCTTAACATGCTCCTTTCTTTTGAACATTTTGTTGGCAGTCCCTGAATCTGCTTGTGAGTTTTGAATTCTCTCTTGAGGAGGAAGTTCCTTGCAAAGGGACATTCATTCTCTTTGAAACAGTTGTCAGATCTTTTGGTAAAGAAAACCTTCCATTTATTCTGTAGCTTCTTTCATGGAAGTATATTATTCGTGAGTGTTTGAACACCCTCAATACCACAATGGTGATGGATATTCCTTTGATTAAGCTGAAGACATCTGACATTTTGGTTTTTTTCTTAGAGAGTCCATGCCCTTGAGGGCTTTGCCTCTGAAATTGCTGTGGCTTTTAAAGGCAATATGTTATCATGTTGAGTCTCAGAGAGAGAGGATTGTATGTTTCATTAAAACAAGGCATCCTGTGAAGCGAGGATGAGGTGAACAGAGACTGGTTTCTCTATTCCTTAGGGTATTTGTCTTATTACAGGCATTCATATCAGCCCATATGTTTCTGAACTAATGGAAAATCTCTGATTTTCATCCTAGTGTGAAGACACCTTACTACACCTCTGGTATGCTCATTGAGACCAATGACATTTACACCAAGGTTTATGCCAAATTAGGCCTGATTCTGATATGGAATCAGCAGGATGCACTAATGGTATGTATGATCCAAGTCTTTTTTATTGGTATGTCCTGAGTTTCCTGGGATAATTCTCTACCCCAGGAGGGAAAAATAAAATGAGGAAAAAGAAAAGTTATAATTTTTGCGTTTTTTTTCTCTTTCCTTCCGTTACTTAGGTGGAGCTGGACAACAAATTTAATAACCATACCTGTGGTCTCTGTGGGGATTACAATGGAATTCAGATCTACAATGAGTTCATCAATGGAGGTGAGTCATCCTACCCTATTGACAGTGGTTACAGAATTTAGGCTGAGAAGAATTGTGCATAGAAACATCACAGGAGAGCAAATTTCACTTGAAAGATTTCTGTGATTGCCCCAGACTAAACATGGTGTTCCAGTTCTGCATTCCTGGTCTAAGGTTATTTTATTCCAGATGAATCTTCTTATTCTTTTCTCTACTAGCTTTCTTTTCTTACTTCCCCTTTAAAATTTTAAATGCAATTAGACATAATTCAGAGCAGATACCTATGTCTGATAGGTGTATTTGATACCATAGTAACTATTTTCCTTAATCAGTAGAGTCCCAGGAATCAGATGCTCCTTGTTGCCAAATATTGGGTCTCAGCAACTCCTCTTTCTAATTTTATCTCATAGATGTGAGCTACAATTCAATTACATACGGGAATTTGCAGAAGATCAGCAAACCCAATGCTAAATGTGAAGATCCAGATGAAACTCAGGCTCTTCCAAGCTGTAACGGGCATGTGAGTATTCCTTGCGGTGAACTTCACTTACATGGAGACAACCTGTGCTATGAGGAGTTAGTGTGCAAGGATAAATGATTCCCTTTCCTGAATAACTGTTCAGAAGACAACAGTTTTTATTTCTAGAAGTTTCTAGAGGCTAGAAGTTACTAGAAGCTTTATTTTTGAGTTTCTAGAAGCTCAGATATTTGCAAATCTCTTGAACATTTCTACTTTTTCTCCGCAGCGTGAGGAGTGTGAGAGGCTGCTGACTTCCCCTGCATTTGCTGATTGTCGGTTGCGCCTTAATTTGGAAATGTACATCCAAGCCTGCATGCAGGACAAGTGTGCATGCAATGGCAAAGAGGACTCCTTCTGCCTCTGCAGCACCATCTCTGAGTACTCTCGCCAGTGTTCGCACGCGGGCGGCCGGCCGGGCGAATGGAGGACACAGCAGTTCTGCCGTAAGCAGCTATACCCTTTTGATACAAAGATCCAAATATTTCATGGATGTAGCAGCCATGAAACATTTAAATTCATTACTTCTTTACAAAACTATTAGCATGTATTATAAATTTCATACCCGTAGTGCAATAAATTGCATATTCTGTTCTTCCTGTTTACTTCTTCTATTACCCTTGTCATGAAGAAATCTTTTTCAGCAAGTAGAAATCCTGTTCCCATTAAAAAACTGAGATCTGATGCTGCAGCTGACTAGAATAATTTGATCTATTTGAAAGCCAAAGAATTAAATATAAAAAGCAGAGAAAGTAGTTCAGAAACAGAGGAACATGTTTTGCCATGTGGAGTCTGGCTTGAGACACTACTGACTTAAGAGGATTAGGGTATATGACCCATGATTTCCAAGGAGTGATGGACTTTACACCCAAATAAGTCACGGTGCCTTTCTTATTCTTTTAGCCAAGACCTGTCCTGCTACCATGGTCTATAGAGAAAGCAGCTCACCCTGCATGGATACTTGCTCACACTTGGAGATCAGCAGCCTCTGTGAGGAACACTACATGGATGGTTGTTTCTGCCCTGAAGGCAAGTATTATTCCAGCAATTGTATGTGGAAAAAACCCAAGAGCCCTTGCAAAGGAGGTCATAGCTAAATTATTAAATGTAGTCAAATTATATCTTTCAAATGAGTACTGCTACCCATTATTTTCCCTGCTAGGGGAACAAAATTAAAAGTTTTTTTTAAGGAGGTCATAATTAATTAATGAATCATTTTATAGTTCAATCATATTAACACAATGGCAGGTAATAAACCTACTTTTTAAATCTCAACAAGTGGACTTCTGATAATATACAGAAAATCATGGGGTTTAGCTTGAATAGTTCTGGGACTATGGACATCATTTGCCCAGAGAGTGGCAGTGATTGACAGTGAGGGAAATTCTCAGGCTTACTGTCAACTTTACAACCTTGTCAAGATTACAATCATAGTCCAGAGAGTATGCCAGAAGGACTGAAAATCAAAGCATGTAACATATTGATATTGTTCTTATCTATGTATAGTTATACAAATGACTAGTCTTGGATTTTTGAAGTTGTATAAAAGTGTTTTCCATGTGTCTTATATTACAAAAAGTAGAAGCTGTATTCTTCACAATTTTGATAAACTCAACCTGTTTGGCAAGTTGAGCATTTCTCCTCTGTGGAAATTGCTTATTTAAAAAACAGCTGGAATAGTTAATGTTGTTTTTTATAGGAACTGTGTATGATGATCTTACTGCAAAAGGCTGTATACCTGTTAGCCAATGCCACTGCAAACTCCAGGGAAAGAACTATGCACCTGGAGAACACATTACCAATGAATGTGAAGAATGGTAAGGATCCTGGTTGTTTATACACCTTTCTTTGAATGATTGTAAATGGGTCTGCGTTTTTCAATCTTCCACTTGGTCATAGGAGATGTCCTGAAGACATTCTGAACTTCATGACATGTTGCATATCTGTACAACCAAATTTTTGAAATGTTTTCTTGAATGTATGGCATATGGCAGTGAGGAAATCTTAAGGAAATGGACAAAGATACAGTTTTAAAACACCTGGGGTTGTCTTGCTGTTTCCTAGATATACAGATGCTTTCAGTGCTTTCAGTGGCCTCAGTACCTGTAATACCTACAAGCAATTTTTTTTATTTTATCTGTTTATAGCACCTGTAATTCAGGCAGATGGACCTGCAAAGATTTACCCTGTCCAGGCACATGTTCAGTGGAAGGAGGTTCCCATATTACCACCTTTGATGGGAAGAAATACACTTTCCATGGAGACTGTTACTACGTGTTGGCCAGGGTGTGTACTGTAGGGCTGTTCTCTTGTAAATACAAATGTCAGTGGGCTGATATGGAAGAGCTGTGAGTTATTGCTTTATTCCACTTTTATGGGGTGATGGAAGCAGAAATGCTAAAAGCTATACTAGAAAATTCAGGGTGGGCTGTAATAGCCCAAAAGGGAAGCTGGGACTTATTGCAATGGGTGATTAACTTAGTCAGATAGTTAAATAAACTACCTATGCTGTCATTATCCAGTGGAGTGCTTCATGTGTAAGAAATCTAAAGGTCAGTCTGGCTGCATGGATAGGTAAACTGCAAAAGTTGCCAGATCTCAGGGTTAGAAGCTCTTGGACAGATCTGTAATAACTGTTTCTGTGTCTGAGTGTCAAAGTCAGCTAGGAAAAGGAGCTAGGCAGCTGTTTCATTCATCTCTCCCTAAAATATCTGGTGCCTGTTCTTCTAGAGAATTACTAAGGGTTTGTTGGGTTAGAAACCATACCACTGAATTTGTCTGAAAGTTTGTTCAGCTTCTAGAACTAGTGCTGATATGGTGGTCTTAATAGCTAAGGTCCGTAGTAATGTTATTGTAACAAAATTTTTGTTTTGGAAATCATCTTGTGAGATTTTTAATTGGACTAATGGACATTTATTTTCCTGTGATTGTAGGCCACTGGAAATGACAGTTATGCTCTCCTGGCAGAGCTGGCTCCCTGTGGCTCCACAGACAGGCAAACCTGCTTGAAGTCTGTTGTGCTGTTAGTAGATCACCAAAAAAATGTAAGTGTTGTGCTGTGGGTTCTGCTAGATATGCTGAAAATTAACATATTTCCCTTATTGTGGAGGAATAGCTAATTCATCTGGAGTCGTTATTGTGGATAAAGGCACCTCAGGCTGAAGAACAACTCAGGTTTCTGCCTCAAAAATTCAAAGTAGACCTAAACTGAACAAAAGATGACATTCAAATAAGCTGACATTTCCTGCTCTTCCTTCCTCTGCTCTGTGCTATGTGATTATGCTCACAGTATTCCAGGTGCCTGAAAGAAAGAGCACCATTCTTCCTCCCCTCACAGTATTTTACTTTATTCAGATATAATTTTATAGATCTAATTGAGGTTTTTTTCAGAAGAAATCCCATCTTTGAATGTTTATGCAATCCAACTTTCTTAAATATTTACTTTAGTATTCTGCTTGATTATGAAAATATAGGGATTATATTTATACATAATTTTCCTCATGTCTGTCTGGTCTTCCATGTCCTTGCCACCATAACTAGAACAAAAGAAAACCAAACCAGAAACCAATAATTTTATGTTTCTCTATGTACAGACCAGCATTTTATAAGGAAATTTAATAAACTGTTTTCTTACCATGCCAGAATCTTACTAAACTTTTACACTGAAGCTATGGCACATGGTTTTATAAGGAATCAAATCTTTCTACAGATCCTGAAGGCCTAATAGTTCTTTTATATGCTGAAATCAAAGTGTCCAATATAAATGAGCTTTGCATTTTATTGCTGCTACAAATTGTTGTAGGCAGGTGTAAGTGAAACACTGAATAGCAACAAAACCTTCCTTGTATCCTACAGTTCTGCTGGCACATTACTTCTTCAGGCAGATTCTTCCTTTCAGAAATGTTTAGTTCTAGTCACAGTCTTATTGTGAAAAATGTCTTCCCTCTTAATTTTCTTTTTATTTGTTCCTTTTCCTCTCAGTACCTGGAACCTCACTGATTCTATTTGCTGTTATACAGGTGGTGGCTTTCAGGTCAGATGGCAGTGTGCTACTGAATGACATGACAGTGAACGTGCCTCATGTGTCAGGTAAGGGACATAGGCTTATATGTCAAGTGTCACATGCCTGACTTCTCATGTGGGGTGTATTTTTTCAGAGGCATGAGAGAGAGTGGAAGAGAGGCATAGGAAATATATTCGGATTTTTAAACAGTCTGGGGATGAATGTGATTTAATAGTCATCACTGAGAGTTTCATGGGCAGACTGACTCTCTACACAGTGGATGATTGAAAAAAATGTCCCTTCACCTTTTTCGTACATATTTGGCATGTATCTTGGGAAAGAGAAATTGTCATGGCCTAAAGTCAAAGCAGATGATTTAACTTGCCTAAATAGAGGGACATTTAGCACTTTCCAAATCTGGCTACATGGTGTGGGCCTGTCCATTTGGTTCTGAACCCAGGGACAAGTCATTATAGGTAATGAACTTGCTAAGTTACTGAGAACCAGCATTGTATCTAGTTGGCCAGCGATTTTTAAATGAAAAAAATTAATTTGATCCTGATCTCAGAATTTTCATGACAGGTGATACCTTAGAATCTAGTAAGAAGTGTTTCTTTCAGCAGCCTGTGTGTGTGTTTACTGCACAGTTCATATTTTGTTTTTCAGCCAGCTTCTCAGTATTCAAGCCATCTTCCAACTACCTTATCGTACAAACTTCTTTTGGGCTTCAGCTGCAGATCCAGCTGTTTAGTGTCATGCAGTTGTTTGTGACTATGGATCAGTCAGTTCAAGGGAAACTTCAAGGTAAGTATCTATTTAATTGAGAATGAAAGCCATGCTGTTCCACAGCTGAAGAGTCATGTATTTAGATGAGTGATAACTGGGTGATTCAAGAGTAGGAAACTAAAAGCAGGAACCAAATATCTGAAAGAGAATCGACTCAAGCAAACTAAAAATGTATTTTTATTGTTTCATATTGTAATGATCTATCACTCTAGTGCAAGTACATAGATGTTTCTTAGAATATTCCTTACTTTTGCATTCAGTTTAATTTTGACTATCTACAAATCAGATTTTGGTGCATATTGTGGTCTCAATATTGTCAGAAAGCATAAAATATACAGGTTAGGGTGGCAGTCTCCTGAGGCAGAGATATCTTCATGAAGACTATTCTTCTCAAGAGGTTAAAGATTTAAAATAGATCTCCTAAAACATCAGTATTTATAGTATACATTAATATTGAGGTGGAATAATCAGCTGCATGAACTTCTGTTTCTAGTGTTTGTGATCAGTTGCCTCTATCCCTTTGACCTTTTAGTATGAGTAATATTGAGGTGGAATAATCAGCTGCATGAACTTCTGTTTCTAGTGTTTGTGATCAGTTGTCTCTATCCCTTTGACCTTTTAGCATGATAATAAGTAATGTTTATGTAAAATTTTTCTCTTCTTTTCCAATAGGTCTTTGCGGAAACTTTAATGGAAAGGAAGGTGATGACTTTAAAACATCCAGTGGGCTGGTAGAAGCTACAGGATCTGCCTTTGCTAACACATGGAAAGCTCAGGCCACCTGTACAGACCAGGCAGAAAAGCTGGAAGACCCTTGCAGTCTGAGCATTGAAAGTGGTAAGCACATTAATAAGTCAAATGCTTGACTTCTGCCAGAATGAGCAGTGTTTGCTCTGTATACATACAAGCACTGATTTCCAATCAAATTGAAGTGAAAGTTTAGAGGATGATTGTAGAGGAATCCTGAGCTGGTAGACTGGGAGGCAAGGTCATTAATTTATATTACCTGCAAAGGCAGCTTGTATTTTCTAGTATTATTTATGTTTCACTTAGCTTTGTGGTCCACAAATTGAAAGGGCTGTCACAATTCCATGTAAACAAATTGCAGCAGTAAGATGAAGGTTTTGATCTTATGATTGCATGTCTCTGAATCAAGGAATAGAAATATATGTACAATGATTGCATATAGTTTCCCCACTCCCCAAATGCTCTCAGTTTTCTGATTCATACTGTTACATAGCATTTATGTGTCAACATAACTAGACAACAGCACAAGGAAGATAAGGAGACATAATGAATTTCTACTCTTTGTTTGCAGCAAATTATGCTGAGCATTGGTGTTCTTTGCTGAAAGACTCAGAAGGTCCTTTTGCAAGATGTCACTCAGTCATTGATCCTTCAGAGTACTACAGGGTATAGTATTCTTGCACTCTTTTTAGTACTGAATTATTTCAGATGGCTAACTGTAGAAATTTGGCATTGTTCAAACATTTGGGACATTACTGAGTAGCTTGCCCATTTTTTTGCACTGATTAACTCAAGCAGCACAGCATGAATCCAAAGTATCTCCTAAGATGAGATTCTTATGGAGTGCTGCTGAAGAAAAAGGTACATTTGCTCTTCTGCTTTCTTGTGTTTGGTATTGAATGTACATTTTGATTGGACTAGATATCTGAACTGAAAAGAAGAATTAAGAGGTGCAGATGTGAATCAACAGTTTAAGTCTACCCTTAGACATTAGTTGTTATTAAGTCAGGAAAAAAAAGAAGCTTCATGTGTTGGAATGTAACAACAAATCATTTTCATGCTAAATCTCCATTATTTAATTTTCCTTTGTGTTCACCTCTGTTGAGCAGTAGGTGAAACTTACCTGAGCAAAAAAGAAGAAATTCCTAAGTCATTGCTCATACTTGTAACTCAGTCTGAACTCAAATTTTGTGAAGATCTTCACAGATCTGATTAATATTTTGCCATCATGATTTCTAATTTTTATGGGTCTCTGCATTTCTAATTTGTAACTGAGAAAGAATGGTACCAATATCCTTTGAAAAAGGTAATGTTAGGAGGCTGGCTACTTTTTAAAGCTATAAGAAGCTTGTCTTAGGTTAGAATAAGTATCCTAATATTTTCATTGTGCATGAAATGAAGCACCACTTTCCGTTTCTGATCTTGGTCCGTTCCTTCCATTGCTCTCTGGCCATGAGAATTAAAAACAACATCAGGAAAAGCACATAGGATATTTTGTAGCAACTGAGTTGCAACTGCCCATTGTTTTCCTGTGAGCTTACTGAGCCTTTCATTCTTTTTGCAGAAATGTAAATATGACACCTGCCTCTGTGAAGACAACGAAGAATGCTTGTGTGCTGCCCTGTCCTCTTACTCAAGAGCCTGTGCTTTCAAAGGGATCATACTGGGAGGCTGGAGAGAAAGTGTCTGCAGTAAGTAGTGGAACTGTAATCCCTGTGGAATTAATTAGTCATGAGAAATAAGCAGATTCTCCCTGAATTTGGTTGTCAGTGATCTCAATGTTAAGGGATTTGGTGTAGCTGAGAAATGCATAATGGCCTTATAAGAGACAATGCTTGTAATACTTACTAATTCATGTTATACTTTTTAGTTGTAATTTGTTCATGACATGCTGAAAAGTAGAAAGCAGTATTTTTCACTTCCACCTCCTTTCCCCAGTTTAAATACTGATGCCATTTCTTTGACTAATGGAATCCCAGCCATCACAACTACTGCTTTGGCTTTGTTTATCAGCAGCTTTTTTTATCATCATGCTTTGCTTTTCAGCAGCAGTGCAGTATTGTTGAGACTAGGAGTTTCTTATATTGTGATCTCTCCCTGATTATCAGTATGTGAAACATATAGGGATATGAAAATACAAACTATTAGTAGCAGTTAAAAATAAGTTTCAACTGGTAAATTTAGGCTAACATTACTTGTGACTTCTGATTTTTTTTGTAGTTATCTAAGGACCAAACCAGAAATGTCAAGGCTAAATTGACCATCCTGCATCCCTTATTTACCTGTTTGCTTATTTTCCCTCCAGGTAGTGAAGTGTCTGCTTGCACAGGAAATCAAGTCTTTCTTTACAACCTCACAAAGTGCCAGCAAACCTGCCGCTCCCTTGTTGAAGGTGAAAAGCATTGCTTGCAAGACTTTGCTCCTGTGGATGGCTGTGGCTGTCCACATAACACATACTTGGATAACCAGGGTAACTGTGTGCCCATCTCTGAGTGCCCATGCTATTACAAGGGATCATACCTGGAACCTGGGGAATATGTCACCAGAGATGGAGAACGTTGGTATGTTTTGTTGTCGCTTTTTGTTTGCGGGGATAAAAGCCCTTTTAAACTTTGCTTATTATGTGGAAGCTGCTTAGCTTGTTTTGGTGTTTTAATGAACATCTGTGTTTCACAACATCTTCATGCTGAGCAATGCATCATCCTTTGCAATGTAGTTTATCAATAACTGAGAAGTGCAGCTTGGTGTGAGTACTGGCCTTCGCTCTGAAGCCGCACTGTTAATAGGGCTTTGTTAAGCAGAGGGATAAAAGGAAGATAAAAGGCCAACTGTATGTTATGTTGCTGTTTTCTTTTCTGGAAAAGACAGATTTGCTCAAGTTTTCTACTGGAGGAAGATCCCCTTGATATGTATTTACTGTAGATTAGGCTTTTGAAAACAACTTTAATGATTCTGCTATATTATATCATGCACTCTGGCAACTGTTTGCTGCCTGAGTCAGCAGTGCAAATTGTGAAATATCTTCTCTCATCCAGCAGAAGAAGCACATAAGGCCAACAAATTTGCAGCATATGAGTTTAATAGGCATGAAAACACACTGTGTATCCAAATGAAAGCTTTGATTTAGATTACCATTAATCTCTGTTTCACTATTATCTATTTCCTGAGTCATCAAAGCCCATAGTATTAAGGACTAACAGAACAGCTGTCATTCTTTCAAACATAATCCTTCTGTGCATTATGCCTAAAATCGAGCTACGCTTTTTCTCCAAGTGAAAATTCATGAGTGAATTTCAATAGGACTGGCCTTGAAATATCAGTAGAAATAATGCAGGAATGTGGTACATCTTTGATGAATACTCTCAAATTTATATAAACAAATCCTTAGACTTAAATTGAAGACACTGAGCTTGGTTTTTTTTTTTTAAAAATTTTCTTCACTTTTCTAGTGTTTGCCGAAATGCAAAGGTCCAGTGTACTTCAGTGAAATTAAGAATGAAAGGTAAGTGACATACTATAAAATGAAATAAAAACCATTACCAACCTCCAAACCCTCTTTCCTTTTGAATTATCTGCTTATTTGTTTTGCATGGTTTTTTTCATTTTATATGAAACAGTTTCACATTTTCACTTTGTTTTCTCTTCATTGAGCCTCTCTTTTCATAAGGATAGACATGCACTGAAATTTCTGTCTCAATAACTACCACCTTTCATACGCATTTCATTTGCCTTTTCTTGATTGATCTAAACCAACAATATACCTTTCAGGTGCAACAGAATGTTCTTCTAACAAGACATACTTTGACTGCAATGCATCCTCCAAGTGGACTTCACAAACACCTGTACAACTTAGCTGTCATACTCCTCAATTTGATCATGTATGTATTCAACTTCTCTTTGTGTCATGTTTCCTTTATTCTGTCTGCTTTAAATGCCACAGTTCAGCACAGAAAATACAGTTGTTACTAGCTGTTTATTTCTTTTTAGTTTTTTATTTCTTTCTTTTCTTCCCAATGATATTAATCTGTTGCCATTTTCATGACCTCATGGCTCTCTAGAACTAGCTGAAAGGAGGGTGCAGACAGGTGAGGGATGGTCTTTCCTGCCATGCCTGCAGGGAGAGGACTAGAGGGAATTGCCATGAGCTGAGACAGGAGAGGTTCAGATTAGTTGTTAGGAAAAATGTTTTCCCTGTTAGGGTGGTCAGGCACTGGAATAGGTTACCCAGGTTAGTGGTGGAGGCACCATTCCTGGAAGAATTTAAGAGGCATCTGGGTCTGGTGCTGGAGGATATGGTTTAGGGTTTAGGGGTTACTGCAGAGCAGTAGATAATGTTTGGACTTGATGATCTTAGAGGTCTCCTGCAACCTCGATGATTCTAGTATTACCCTTAAGGTTTCCCTCTCCTCTTTCTTTTTACTGTGTCTTCAGTAGAGTCTTAACTCCCAAGTGAAATAGGATTTCAGTTCTCAGACAATCAAAAAAGAAAAACAATCTAGGAAGAAAGACCTTATAAACTATCAATATTAGGCTGTTTGGTTATAAATACAGTTTTACAGAGTGCTTGTGAAGAAATGGAATTAAAATGCAATAAAGTAACAACTTGTCTTTATATTCCTTAGTTCCAGACAGAGTGTGTCTCTGGCTGTGTGTGTCCTGAAGGCCTGTATGATGATGGGAAAGGGGGCTGTGTGGAACAGAAGGACTGCCCATGCACTCATAACAATGAGTGGTATTCTACTGGAGCAAAGATAAAAGTGGACTGCAACACCTGGTAAGTTAGAATTTTGTGCTCCCTTCTAGAATATATGTTGTACAGTAAATTAATAGTCATGTCTATGGTTATGTACAACAGTAGCTGGGAAAACTGCAAGTATAATCCTTGCTTTTCAGGAATCCTTAATGCTATCTGAGGAAATACAGGTTCTGCTGAAAATGTTGGGGTAATAGCTACCTCTTTTTTAAGTAGGCATCTCTTGTTGAGAAAGCAAACTCAGTTTTTAAATATAAATGCTAGCAGATCTAAAAATTGTAGGTGACCAGAGTTAAAAATCATGTTATAGACTTAAAAACTATGAAGTTGAGACTTTAAACACTCTGTAACACTGAAATGGCTATTTTGCACATTATCACATTGTATCAGGCAGCTGCTTGGCTTGTTCTGCAGTTTTCCAAAGAATCTAAATTTCAACTCCATTGCTCTCTTCTAGTACCTGCCAAAAAGGAGCTTGGAGCTGCACTGAAAACGTGTGCTATGGGACTTGTACAATATATGGAAGTGGCCACTACATCACCTTTGATGGAAAATTCTATGACTTTGATGGAAGCTGTGAATATGTGGCCACTCAGGTAATGCTCATCAGGAGGGCTGAAATGGCATTTGATTGCCCTGAAGATCTACTTTTCTCTTTGACTTTGTCATTCCTTATTACGTGTCATCACTGTTCCTGAGGTGTTCATACATTCTGCCAGGAAAAATTATGCATTTTCAGTGCAGGCAAGCAGTGTGAATTTGGTGGGGTTTTTTGATATAGTAGTCATAAATTATATGTAATAGAACTATTTTATAGTGAGAGCTAACAGCTCACTATCAATTGTGAAATGAATCCAAATTCTAAGTTTAGAAAACAAATATATTTATATTTAAAGATATATCCCTCATTTTGTTTTATTGTTCTGCAGTTTTTCTCGGGTTGAGACTGTATTAACTGTTTATGCATATGCAGAGATGTTCATGTATATGATCATGCATCTGTAAATACATACATATGTGTATGTATGTAGGTTTCACATATGAAGCAACAGTAATTTATACATTGTGAAGCTTTAGATGATTCTAATTATTATGAGATTGAACTAAAATACTCTACCTTATTTTCTCATGATAATTGTTTTTGTTTGATTGTGTTTTTTTTGTTTCAACAGGATTTTTGTGGTGACAAAAGTCCCAGCAGCTCATTCAGTATCATCACAGAGAATGTCCCCTGTGGAACTACAGGAGTCACCTGCTCAAAGGCTATCAAAATGTTTCTAGGAGTAAGTAATGATACTCATTGAGTATATTTCAATATTCAAGTACTAAAAAAAGAAGTAATGCTCCAAAGCCACATCCCTAAAAGTAGCTGTAACAACTATTAGAGGCCCTATCAAATTAATCTGCAAAGGTGTATATTCTCAGGTAATGAAATCTCTCAGACAGAACTGTTATACCACTTTTTATCATCTTGGAAAGTCATGCCAGACTTTCAGCTCTTGGTTTCAGAATGAGTTGTATTGTCAGATGTGTCTAATATTTTATCTCATCATAGAAATTAGTGTTACAATAGTTCTAATGAGTTGTATTGTCAGATGTGTCTAACATTTTATCTCATCATAGAAATTAGTGCTACAATAGTTTCCTTTTTATCTTTCAGAAAACTGAACTGAAATTGGAGAACAAAGAATACAAAGAAATTCAGCGTGATATTGGTGGTGACGTGCATTATTGGAACAGGACTGTTGGCCTCTACCTTGTTATTGAGGCTAGCAATGGTGTGATGCTTATCTGGGATAAGAAGACTACAGTTTTCATCAAGCTGACCCCTAATTACAAGGTTAGAACCTGTCTGTCTTTTTCTGAAGTAGTATTATGCATAGAAAAATGAGATAAGGAAACAAACATAAATGTTGCTTTATTCTGACTTCATGTTTGATTCCTATATCCTCTGCCCACTGATGATTAACTTGCATTATTGCTATCACAGCATACAGAGGTGCTACTGGAGTTTCTTACAGTCCATCACAATTCATTGGGGAAATTCATAGGGAAAGTAAAAGCCCCACACAAGCAAAGCAAAACAAGGATTTCATTCACTGCTACCCATGGGCTGGAGGTGTTCAGCCATCACATGGAATAGTTAGACATCTGCCATCAATCCAAACATCCCCCCCTTCCTCCTTCTTCCTCCCACTTTATATACTGAGCATGATGTCATATGGTATGGAATAGCCCTTTGCTCAGTTTGGGTCACCTGTCCCAGCTGTATCTTCTCCCAGCCCTCCATAAACACCCATCTTTCTTGCCAGCATGGCAGTATGGGAAGCAGCAAAGACCTTGGCTCTCTGTAAGCTCTGCTCAGCAACAACGAAAACATCTCTACATTGTCACCCCTGTGTTTTGCACAAAAATAAAACACAGCCCTGTACTACCCACTGTGACAAAAGTTAACTCTACCCCAGCCCAAACCAGCACTCTAATGTTTTAAGTGGGATTTGGAGTCAGAGAAATGGATATACACGAGATACAATTGCTTGCAAGGAGGGAAGACATGGCAGCTGAACAGCTTGCTGAGTACACAGACAAAGAAAGGTTCCTTTCTGTATAAATTATTTGGGATAAGATGAAAATCGTCATTTACTCACACAGTTGTCATTTTTAATGCCAATG